GGGATACCAAACACAAAGTACAGCAGTTTAAATATCTAGGAAGTATTTTAACAGAGGATGGAAAATGCAACACCAAAATACAAAGGTACATTGAAAAGTCTTAATAAACAGGAAAATTTCATTAGGAACAAAGAAAATAGTACTGAATTGTTATGCAATATCAGTCTTCATATAGAGCAGTGAATACTGAACAACCTTCTCAGATGAAGAAGAGACTTGAGGCAACACAATTGTGGTTCTACAGAAGGATCTGAGAATACCATAGACTGAGCAACAACAAAGTTTTAGAGAAAATAGAAATGAAAAGGTCACTTATACTTAATATCAGTGATAGCTGAAATTTCTGAGGCACATAATGAGGAAAGAAGGCTTGGAGAATTTGATGCTCACAGGACATATTGAAGACAAAAGGGGCAGAGAAAAGCATCAAATGACCCACCTAATGTGCTTGTGTAAATGGTTGGCAGAACAGGGATTAGAAGAAATAACAAAAAAACAAACCTTACTAAGAGCTACAAAGGACATGAATCTGTGGAGAGCCATGATCGCCCACATCTTGAAGAGACACAACACATAGAAAAAGACTATACCTGTACAGATACCTTCACTCAGCTGAGCTATCCTATTATTACATTTCTTTATCAATGAGAATTGCAAGATCATGCTGAAAAGTTTTTGGTCCATCCAAGAAACTCTTCCAAGAGAAATTCTTAAGTTTGTTCCTTTGGTCAGATTTTGGAAAATCAGTTAGACCAAGAAATTTTCAGTGGTACCATCATATAACATACTTCTCTGTCCCTGACCCAGTCTGGTGACTACAGAACATACACTGATAACCTGTCTTTGAAGTGAACTAAACTCCAACATTCTGATACATAATAGCTATTTTTTGTCCTTTTTCTGTTTCTTTTTTTAAGATAGGGTTCATGTGTAAACCCTTATATATCACTTGTGCATGCATAAAATCATCATGGTTCTTTTAGATTCAGTATTTGGCAAATGCAATCTATGTTTTTTATCATGCAGAAGTTTTGAATTTTTGTTTTATATAACTTATTCTTATTGATGCTGTGTCTTTCTGAAATGTGATAAAAATTTACCAATATAAATTCATTTCTGTTTTTGCTATGAACTGTTATTATTGTTTTTTATCGCATGATTTTTGCATTATTTTAATTATAACTTATTGTGGTTGCTTCTATTTAAGAGAACAAAAAGCAATGATAATAAAAAAGACTAAAACTGTTAACAAAATAATAATGGCGAAGAAGAAATTCAAACAAATGATTAGGAATTATTAAGTGGATTTTTGGCTGCCCATGTTTTTCTTAATTATGGATATTAAAAAACAATATATATATATATATATAGAGAGAGAGAGAGAGAGAGATTGTGTACCTGTGACATTAAAATTGACAGTAACAGGGAATGTATTATAATTAATATGTATTATATTGTAATTTTCGTTTAATCCAAGTACAATTTTGTCATTTAAAATAGTTTGTTGTTAATGTTAATAATTGAAGTTTGTACAATTTATAAACACCTCAAGAAAGATATCTGTATTTTATCCTCATTGTGTGTGTGCATGTATGTGCAAGCATAGCTTTTGTACACATGCTTTTGTGAAACAGCTTGGGCGTTCTTGAGAGTCAAATTTGCTGAGAAATTAGAACATCATCGTTAGTGATAGTCAATTCCACAATCCAAGACACCTTGAAGAAAGGTAACTTTATGTGAAGTTTAATTCAAGCTGAAATAAAATATAAACCTCGGCCAAGTTTTGTCTGACATATATTTATCTCCTCTCTATATCCCTTTCTATTCCCCCTCTCTCTTTCTTTATTTGCAGTTGTGTATCTGTTTATTTTTGTAGCTACTTTCTATAACTCCTTTCACTTTGATTGTAGTTTACAGAGAGAGGGAAAGAAGGGGGTTGCTTTGTAGTTTGTCAGCACAGTAGCTTTTTGCATGTGGATGTGAATGGAGTCATGAATTCTATGCATCTCATAACTAAATTTTGCACACTGTCCCTCATTTGTTACACACACAGAAAAAAAAAAATATATATATATATATATATATATATATATATATATATATATAGCATATATATTTAAAGATATAGATATTGTGATGTCACCCCGGCCTCTCTGCCCCCATCGCCATGCTATCCTGTGATGACCAATGTGACTTGGTATTGGTCGCGGCACCAAATGTGACGTTCTAACCCTTGAGTGATTCGAATGGGAATCTGGTTAGATTCGATATCAGCTTTGTCGCTCCCAGCTCGCCTCCGACGTCTGGTTACCGAAGTAACTGCTTTGATTTCTAGTCTAACCTACCCACGTTGTGATTTGATCTTAGGTAAACGAAATCAATCAGTCGCCGGGCTGCAATGCAAGCCGAGTCTGAGCAAAGGTAACACCGCACAAGTATATGTAACAGAAAATAAAGTAACTACTCGAAAAGTTCAAATGTGTTAAAAAAGAATAACAAATATTTTTATATCTGGTTGCTGAATACAGGACTGCGTCTTTCTCCCAACCTGCTAATATGGATACATGACACTTTGCATTTGTTAGGAGAGTCTTGTTTTTCGATAACTGGTTATTGGTGTCTTCAGGTGATATTCGTAAAACTTGTTTTAGTGGTGTGAGTCTAAGTCGTTCTTCAAAAATAAATTGTTCTTGGTTAGAAGTCGAAGTCGGGATGCATGGATCTTCAGTCAGCTTCCTGTGAAGCTGGTCTCAGAGCTCACAGCTCAACTCTGTCTGCGTCTGCATCTCTCTCTCCAACTGCAACTAACTGCCGTCTACTCGCTGCGACTCTGTTTATATGAACACCGACCAAAACCGGGTGTGGGCTTGTCGGGGTTTGAGTTCCTCGATAATTCTAAATCCATAATAAGGATTTTCTTTGTCTTCAGACAGGAAAATTTACCACTTTCCATTTTTGGAAATCCATTACTTTCTGCTTAGATGGGTTCTTAAGAGAATCGTCCTCCCAATTCTCCCTTTCTCATATTGGTATCTCACACCAATCCCCTCAGAGGCTGTCAACAGGTTTTCCTTCTTTCTCACAGTGGTATCTCACACCAATCCCCTCAGAGGCGTCAACAGGCCTCCCCTCCTTCTCATATGTTTACCTTCGCCCACCGCTCATGCCACCATTCAGCCAATGACGCTCGGCAGCGCGGGTGTTTACAATTATTGCTCAAAGGAAAAAAAAATTATCTTCCTTTTTTTCTTTTCTTCTTTTCTTTTTTTCACCAGACCCCTACGACTGGTAGTGTGGTCCCTAATCTCTATCTTAACCGAATGTCATCTGGAATTTATCAACGAGATTTTCGCCAGCGTCAAATGGGTGGTTAACTGGATGTCTTCGCACTCTGTATCCAATTATCCATCCCGGTAACAAACTTTTATCATGTCCAGGTCTGGACAATAAACAGGTGGTCTCTTTCCAAAATCAATGATATCTCCAAAAGATAGTTAATGGTTTATTCTTCCCTTCTTCTTGGGTGGCCTCAGCTGAGGCCTTTCTTGGTCAGTACGTGACCTGATTACCATTATCTTCCAGCTTCTGTTTCGTAGGCCACTTGACCAATTTGAAATTTTCATTATTGCCATGGGCAGATGGCTATCTTTTATTCGCTGCCTTGTAGCATAAATTAATTCCGACAGATCCGAGATCTTACGAATTTCCTATCTTCTATGAAAAAAAAAATACTTTTCCTTCGCAAATGAAAATAAAATCTTTACCACTTTCTTTAAAAAAAATAACATCGCTCAGTATGTCTTTTCATGATAGCTTCTTCTCACCTTAATTATTTCTCACTTTTAGTTTTCATGCGACCGCTAAATAGTGTCACAATATAATAAAATATAGTTGTAAGGTATGTTACATTTATAGGGTAAAAGTGCTCAATATCCAGGAGAGAGCATTTGTAAATATAAGAAGTGTAGATATTTTCAATACCAAGTAGTAGTGACAACCTGTTTTCTGCTTGAACATAATCTTTAGGCCTGGAAATCAAAAGTTATTAGAAATATTGAAATGCATAAATGAAAAAATTGCTGCCCAAATATGCTCAATACATACAAAATGTATGCAAGTATTCATTTATTTCCAAGTATGAAGATATTATCATAGAGTGCATCCAAATAAATCTCTTTACAACTTGTCTTCAACAATTCTGCCTATAGTTTTACTTTACCTTTTAGTCAGTTTGGTAGATTACATGTTTCTTTGAGAAAAGATGTTTTTTATGCCTTGTCAAATAAAATAATCCATCTTATGTGTAGAAAGCAAATTGTCCTTGAGTTGGAAAAGCAGATGCTGACAACAACAACTATTCAATGAAGCATAAATGAAATTGGAGAGAACCTCACAGAACATTATTAATATTTTTATAGATATTATAGTAAATGCATAAGATTTTCATAGAAGACTTACTAAACTTTGATAATTCATTTTATTTCTCTGAACTTTCCAGTTTATCATAGTCATGGGTTTTCAATTATGCTTTATTACAAGGCTTACGGTCATATTAAGTTGAAACACCAGTTCTCATACAATCACCAAAGTTAAGCAACATTGAGCCTTGCCAACACCTAGATGTGCGACCACTTGGAAAGGCCAAATACTGTAAGCTTTGATGTATGTATGGTGTAATGGATAACAGCTTGGAATTGGAATCAGAGAGCTGAGATCCAATTTCAGTTATGTTCATTATATTCACTTATGTACAAACACCCTTGGGAAAGGTACAAATCTACCTTGTTTCCCCTGCTATGTGTTAATTAGTACATTAGTATATTACTAAAATAGTAGTAAATCATTACTATGTCCAAGAAATTTTTACAATCTAAAAATACTTTCTGGCTTTAAATAACATGCAAAAAGTTGGTAAGCCATAAAAAACAAATCAATCAATCAATATACTTTATTGCAAAAACAATTCGTTTTTAATATATTAAGAAAAATCATTTTTAATTCAGGTTCAGAGCAATGTTTGTTGCTGGTGAACACTGTGATAAACACACAATGCAATGGACAAAGAATTTAATCCAAAAACCTGTTCTTGACAATTGGTGGCAAACAGGTGAGTTTTTACTTATATTATTCTTACAATTTATTATTAATATCTGCTCTTTTATAATAAAATTAGCACCCAAACTTTTTATTCACTTACTGTATTACATTAGTATATATAAACTGAGATTAAAATCTGCAATGAATATTAAATGATACCCAATGTCTTAGACTCAGTTCTGCTTGGTAAATAACTAACACACTGCCACACTAATGAGTATTAAACTCACTGTACTAGTTAATTTAAGTCTAGATAAGCATCACATCATAATAGATGACTTTGGGAAAATAAACAGTCTGAACAATCTGAATTCCTCAAACGTTTGGCTGGCACTCAAATAAAGAGAGAAAAGAACTAAGTCAAGCACTAAGATTCATTGCTTCTCTGACAACCATCATCAACCAGAAGCTGTAAACACAGTGTTTTGGTGGCTAATTCTAGTAACAATCACCTACCATAACAGAATTATCTTATAGATAACATGATTACTACCCAGTGGATGTTTTGACCCAGTACTACTTTATAACAAACAACAGAAAAGGGCCTCAGTTTACTTTATTGATCTTTTTTAACAAGAACCTCAAAACTACAATTTTCAATCTCCTCTTTTTTAATTACTACCTTCTTTATGAAAAACATAAAAGGTCCAAATCATTTTGTGAAGTTCATATACTTGGCATTAAATATTCTCAAAAGTTATTGAAATCCTGGGTCTTTAAAAAAGCAAGTCCTAATTTCTAAATTTCTGTTGATTATGCTTTTACAATTTACAAATTGTAAAAGCATAAGTTTAATTCATATGAGTATTAAAATAACAAAACATGGAAGGAAGAGAAAAATAAATTCAAAAGTAAATTTTAAACTTCACCCCACTTCACTTTCTAGTTTTTCAATTTCTTATAATGATATCTAAAAGCTGAGGGTAATAATTCAAATTAAATTATATTAAGTGACTTTTTATTTGTATTTCTTGAATTTTCACACCAGTAGTATTTGATGGTTTCCACTGGAGATCAAGTGACAGCAAGCATCCACAATATTTCGATATTCTCCAATATTTGAGCTGATTTTAGTAATGCTGGATAATTTCAAGTTTTCTTCAAATTTTCACTTCTCACAATCTTTAGAATACTCTTGGATTTGTGCCAAGTACTTTTAAAATGACATACACAACTGTTACCTTCTTGCTCCACAATTATTTTAGTTATCTCACAAACTCTATGATGTAATGAATATGCATACACCTGGGTTCCCCCCACAGTAATATGATTGGATAGTGTGACGACGCCTATTGTCTTCGCCTATTGCCTACCACTACAACAAGGACCAGTCCATTACGGTTACCTGCTAGATTCTACTACCCGGTTACAGTAGTCCAAAACCACTTTGCTACTTCGAACAAATATATCCCTTTCCGGGACATATCACTCTACATGTTGTTCTATCATTTCTCATCCCTTTTTTTTTGACCATGATTGAAAGAATCTGAACTTCAAAGTCCTAGAAGTCTTTTTGGTTTTTTTTCTTCTGGTGTCTATACCATTGGTTTTTTCAAATCACAGTCATTTGCACACTTCCCAGTGGAACACTCTCCCAACCCAGTCAAGCCTATTTCATGCTCTTTCCAAGCTAAATTCCTTTATTTGCATGACTGTTGGTCTCATCTCTGTATAGTTTACTATTTTGCTGTATCCTGTCTATTTTAGTTTTAATGGTTGAATTGTTCTGGACTGTCATTAATATTGAGTCTGTTTCTGTCTTTGAATGTCCTCTTTACAACTATATCTTTGTTTTATTTACAATTCTTTTTAGCAATGTTTTTTTTGTATTTTGGAGAAGTTTTAACTCCTTTTTCTCCTTATTTTTGACTTCCCATTTTGGAGTTTTATTGTCTCCTATCTTCATGTTCATGAGATTAATCTTTCCTTACTCTAATTGTGCAAATAGTAAAGTCAACACAATCCTCAATGCTAACAAGTCTTAATTTCTCTATTCTTTTTACATACATATCATCTCTAGGATATAAGACTTTATACACCTCAACTTGACAAATTTAAGTGCAGTACTAGATTGGTAGCTAGGTTTTATAATTTCACTATAGAAATTGTTAGTTCTATGTGAAGAGTTTCTTCTCTCACACTTCTCACATGTGGAACTCTCTTCTAGCTTCCTGCCAACTATGACATTCAAAAGTTTAAATACAATTTCAAACTTTATCTTCTACCTTTTTTAATCTTGCCCCCTCCATTTCTTTCACTCTCTGTAAGCCCCTTGCATAGTGGATTTTATCACCTTGCTTAGAGTGAAATGATTTTTAAAAAAAATTGTCATTGACTGGTGTTTTCAGATTTACTTATTATCCTTGTTTGTTTTCATTTGAAAATTCAAAATTCCAACAATTATATATATATATATATATACACACACACACACACACACACACCGGGTGTAACATCAAATTGTCCAAACGTTAGATTAAGCTTTGAACCATTGTATCTTAGAAATGATTAAAGATATCTTACTGGAATTCTCCAAAGTTTTTATAACACTATTGGACTCTACTTTGAGCAATAAGAATGTATAATTGCTCTCCAAGCTTAACAGAAGAATTGTGATGAAATCGATCAGAAATGAAAATGGAAAAAGACATGTTCATCATTAATCGATCATAGCTAAGGATCGGAAGCTCATGAAAGATTGATATGAAGTTCAAATATATATATATTATTCCAGGATCATTTTCCAACATATTTAAGATGATTTTTGCCCTTTTGAACCTTCTAACTTTCTGTCCTGGATAAACAAGGTGCTTCCCAGGTTTCACATATGATTTCATTTTCAAGTCTTTTTTCACTGCTCTTTGGATTGTCATACCTGAAACTCCTCTTTCATATGGCAAACATCTTATGAATTGAGTTGGATCTTTTCTAATTGATCTCTTTAACTTTAAGTTAAAATGATGATTCCTCTTCTTGTTGTGACCTCCTGATCCAGTTATCCTCACAACTGTTCCCGCTTTTTTAAATTTATTCACCATTCTCTTGATGGTTCTTGAAGACTTTGAAGATGGAAGCCAGAGTATGAATGTTGGTACCATTACTGAAGGCCTGAATGATCTTCTTCCTCTCATCATTGCTCATTTGGGAAGACAGTGGGGCTGACACAAAACGATTTTAACCTGTTCTCTTTCTAGCTGAATAACTCACAAGGTTTTTCAGTTGTTCTTACAACAAATAAATGGTTTCAAGATGGCTAAATGTCTTATCTGAAAACCTGGAAAAAAAACTCAGTTTAGTGGTTTTTAGATATTAAACATTTTGTGGGATGGACAATTTTGCTGTTACCTATATATATATATATATATATATATATATATATATATATATATATATATATATATATTTGAGAAGTGATAAGCAGTTCTTTTAAAACATGATCTTTTGACAAAGAGTTGTTCAAAGGGGCAATTATTATTTATGATTTCAGAGACTTCTTGGCCAATTACTTCCACATGTCTTGGACTTAATATGAATACAGATCCACCTCATGGAGTTTCTGGAAAACCAGTTCCTGGATGGAATGGTATGTTACCACTATTTTTATTATTACTATTGTCTTTATTTCCCTTTTTCATACATTTATTTTATTATAATTATTGTTTAGTAAAATGTCTTCAGATATTATTCTTTAATTACTCATTTAAGAAAAGAAGTACTAAAAGGTGTACATGATGATGTACATTATGGTATAACAACAACACAAATGAGATTAAAATTACAAGCATAGTGACAGGATATTCTCAAGATGCAGAAGACTATATAAAAAGGTGCCTAAAATGTACTGAAATAAAAACTTTCGACAAAACAAAATTCACACGTGGCCTAAAGAAAAAGAACTATGGACTTGGGTACAAATGGATCATACCCATATTAAAAGCATGGGGTTATTTTTAATTTTAGTGGACTCATTTTCAGGATGGCCTGAAGTAATTAAGGTTACTAACAAAAAAGCCACCCCTGTAAAACAAATATTAAGAACAATATTTTCAAGGAATGAGGTGCCTAAAACTTTGGTCTCAGATAACAAATTTTGTGAGGAAAGTTTTTGCTTGTGGCTAAAGTGTATTTATAACACCACCTTACCACCTACAATTGAATGTAATCACAGAAAGAATGGTGCAGACTGAAAAAGGACTAAAAGCATTTTCCCCATCTAATGATAATATAGAGAGTTATATACCAAGATTACTGTTAAGCTATAGGACAATTTCAAACGCCAGCAAACTACAAAGTCCTTCCATATTAATGGGTAGACAGATTAGAGCTCCCATAATAATGTCATTTTTCAATAAGTGAAAGTGTACAGTATAAAAAAGATGAAGAATCTAATCCAAAGAAAGTAGTACAGAAAGTACACAACACAGCAATACTAACAAAAAAATGGCTAAAATTTACTGGCCCTTGCAGGTCACTTCAGAAGCAGAATGGAACTCAAGGATATAGAAATGGATGAAGAATCTGAAGGTGAAGAACATGAAGGGGAGGAGGGGACTAATGAATCCATTAATTAAATTGAACAATCTATGAATGTTAATGACCAGAAATCTGACAAGGAGTCAGAAAAGGAAAATGAAATCAAGCCAAGTCCCCTATAAGAAGAAATCAAGATACTCAACAAGAAAGACAGTTTAGATTTCCAAGAATAATTAGAAGTCAAAGATCAACAAAAGGCATAAGGCCATTTCAGTTCAGGGAGGTATAGTATTATATGTAAATGAGGTGCCACAGCAAATGACAGTCAAGCTACCATCTGTTGACCTGACAACATTTATTCCAGAGAGTACTCTATTTTATAACACCTTCAAAAGAAATGATTTGGATTTAGTATTGAAATTTTAATAAAACCCTTGAATATAGCATCAATATTTTGTATCAAATCAAAGTTGGCTAATTCTCTTAGACTACATGAAATGAAATGCCAATTGACTTTATTTGAATATTGTTATGCATTAGACAACTCCAATGTGTGAGAAAAGACAATGGAAACTCTGCTTTAATACTAACATGGACATATATTTTTAATATGGCTGCAGTTTATTTATCATCAAAGCTGTTCTGACTTGAGGGCACACTGCAAATCAGTACGATTTCTCATCTTCAGCATGGCTGCTTGTTTCCAAGCATTCTCATCTGCTCTGGCGCATATGTGTTTCTTCAACACCCACAGATCCAACCTAGTTACTGTAACTATGCTGCATTGACCTTAGTTACAGTTCAAATATCTGCCCCACCAAGGTAACATACGGTTTTGAAATCAAAGTCGTCCTTCTCATATACTGGTTGCTAACCACAGCTAGAGAGTCCAGTCTGCCCTACTATTTAACTCAAAGCTGAGAGGAAAATAGATGGATTCAAAAGTAAATGCAACAAGCTTGACCAGAATTCAAACTTAGCTCACCAATTTCTTGTTCTGTGCCTTTAGCCATTATACTACCTACACATCCTGCACTTTATTGACTGCTGTAAAAAAAAATCCCCTGGTGGCCAAGAGAAGATAATCCAGATTCCTTTTGCAACTTGCATGATGTACTTACAAAACAATGGAATATCAATTGTGAAAAAGAACATAGATGTTGTTTTGTTTGTAATTGAGGTAGTTGTGTATTTTCAACATGTATCTATGGTTAGTTTTTAAGCCAAATTGATTTTCAAAATAAGCAGGTCTTCTTAATTTGGAAAATTAATATAATGCAATCTTCCTTCCTGCTCCACATCTGGCCTTGTGCCACACTAAACTCAGTAAATATTATAAATGTTGCATCTAGAAAAAGTCATCATTGAGACTTATTAACTAACTAGCAGCATGGCCCGGCATTGCCCGTGCTTGATTCAAAAATCATACGACTCATCCAGCAATCGCTATCACTTGACTTAAAATATTTTTACCCTTCCTTGCCTTTAAAGGAGTGCCCTTTGCCGTGCTGATGTTGCTACATGCCTTACTTCTTGCCTATCTCACACTGCAAATTTTTTCTAAGCTCTATACTAAACATTAAATTTGTTATGAAAAAAGAACTAAACAAAATGAACACAAAACGATCAGCTTTAAAAAAGGACTCAGAATTGGAAGAACCGAATGAAAAAGAATGTTAACAACAAATACTTTTTTACACCCAACCCAGTTCTGCAGAATCAGAATCAACGTTGAGTTTAAGCAAGCGAATGAGCCAATTGGAGTAAAGTGCCATGCAGATTTAAATTTTTCCCCACTTGTGACGAATGCAGCTATCGATTTTTTTTTTTTTGCATGCTAGTTAACATTCGTGTCCAGTCAGCTGTTGGCTCTCATGCTGGCCAATAGAATCTTCCTGCCTATTCGTGGCAGCCAGCTATAGGCTCTCACTCTGGCCAGTAGAAAATGGCCGCAAACTACATGAAAACTGCCGTAGAAGCATGAAGAAATTGATTATTTCCACTATCGATGGGAGTTGGGAAATGCAAAGTCTATCTTGGCCTTCTCACTAACTTGGAACATGTGCATGTAAATTTTGGTGCAAATCCTCATCAGTCCAGTAGCCATGAAAATATTTGTAGAAAAAACAGAGGGAAGCCACATCACGTCTGTGAGAAAGCGGCTGAAGTCAAGAAGCTAATCCAGTACTGATTACATTACAGATCCTACTTTAGATTTTTTTGAGAATATTGCATTAAGGGAAGGTAGGGGAAAATTTTATGGATAAAACTTTAACTGCGCAACCAGTAATAAAAATCATAGAAATGCAATCTATGTTGTTATTCATTTAAACATCATCATCATTTCATAGTAATAAAAAAATATAATATATTTAAATTAATAATAATAGTAATAAAAGTAATAAAAATTAACTATAATGTAAGCATATCCATGATATATATAAATGATTAAATACATCTATACACATATATATGTATGTATGGCACACATATAAAAAAAGAATAATATATATATATATATATATACATATATAGATAGAGAGACAGATAGCTAGATACACACATATACAATACACGCATACATATATACATACATATATATAAACTTACATAGTTACAAACCTAATATATATTTTTCAGTGTTTGATGCAAAATAAATGTCTATTCATTTCTATTTCATTTGGACACCATGTGTATTTAAAGTAGTTTCCGGTTATTATTTTTAGGTAGGAGGACTTGTGTATGTTTAGGTTTCATTTGTTTACTTTTTGTGTATCGTTCTCTGAAAAAAAAAAAAAACACTGAGTCGCCAGAAGTTAACGGCATTCGTTCTGTTTTCCGCGGTGTTTTCTTTTTATTCCAGTGAAGGTATTGTCCCCTGATGGCAAAAAAGATGCTGAACCTGAAGATCTTGGTCAAATTGTAGTCAAGTAAGTAAAGCCTAAATTTAGAAGAATCTACATTCAACTACAAGCAAGTCTTAAAATGATTAGATCTGAAGCGTATTAGGTTTCAGTCAATATAAACTAAAAGGATATTGCTAGTTTGTGCAGGTTTTCATTTTCATTTTTCATTATCATTCGCTATGTGAAACTGCTTAGAAAAAGAATTTTCAAAGACAGTTTCTTTACTGGTGGCACGTTTTTAACTTTTTGAACTGATGTAATGAATATGCATACACCTGGGTTCCCCCTCACAGTAATATTATTGGCTGCTGACAGACATAAATACAGACTGATGTGGAGGTACATGAGGACGCCTATTGACTACACCTATTGACGACGCCTATTGGTACGCCTATAGTCTTCGCCTATTGCCTACCACTACAATGAGGACCAGTCCGTTATAGTTACCTGCTAGATTGTCCTACTCGGTTACAGTAGTCCAAAACCACTTTGCTACTTCGAACAAATATATCCCTTTCCGGGACATATCATGAACTTAAAACAATTCATGTATAAATTTGAAATTAGAACTGCCCAAAGCAGGAACACTATAACTATACTTTATCTCCAAGAAAGAAAATAAAAAGAAAAAAATTAAAATTATTAATTACCAAAGTTTTCTTAGCTTTTAAAAGTCATGTTTTCTCCTGTTGTAATAAAAAGAAACATCTTACATATATGTTGTATAGGTTGCTTCTTCTGTTGAGAGTTTGATTCAGATATGAATTGAGCACATGTGCTATTTTCAAACATTATTATTTCTTTTGTTGCCGTGTTGCTTACAATATAAAAACACATAAAATCAAAGAGTCACTTCAGACCTTGATGCTACTATCAAAACATCCACAAGCAATGAGATATGAGATTATGCAGTGGGCCTCCCTAATCTACAGTTTTACTTTCTATCAACCCCAGAAATAAATACTTCATATGTTTTACTTAATAATGGTCCCAAATCTCAAGGGTAGCAATACTTAAAATTCAGATCTGCTGAAAATAAATCACAATGTTAAGTGAAATGATGAAATCTCTCTAGTCAATAATAAATGATCATGTATCAAGGTTGCTAAGATCTACAGTAAGAATGACTCATCTATTCATCACACAACTTTATTACAATATATTACTATAAGTATCCCATTTTTATTATTAGTCATTGTTATTAATCTCTTATTGTACCTAATTTATAAATTAAACTTTATCATAGGTATTTTTTAAACTATCTCCCTTAAGGATATAAGTAAACATGTCTCTCCATGACATCCTCTTCTTTAATAGCTATACACTGTGAATCACCCTGAATGTTTGTTGGGAAAGGTGAGGAGTGGTTTTTCATTGCCTTCTCCTGTGTTTTTATTTCTCCTGGACTGGCTGCCCAACTTAGGTTAGACAATCCAGTCCATCCAACTATTTTACCCATAGCTGAGAGGACATGAGATGCATTCATGCTTTTCCCAAAAGTATTAGTAGAAAGTGAGTAAAGAATTTGAACCCAACCTGCCAATGCCATTTTCTGTGTTAACAGCCGCAACTAGCAATGACCAGGTTGATGACAGTGATGTCGAGATAGAATAAGATTTGCAAGTCATTCATTTATAATAGTATCAGCCCTCTTTTTGCTTTATATTAATGATTGGCCTAAGAACATCCTCAAATCCTTAGTAAATATATATACAGAAGATATCATGGTGTTGCTCCAACTATCTGGATGAACAGTGTGTCAGCTGATCTCTTGTCTGACCTTTTGCAGCTCACTAGGGGAAAGACTGGCTTTTATCATTCAATACCTCCAAATCAAAGCTAGTAATGTTTCATTATCACCAAGCAAATTCTAAATTTGCTCCAATTTTGATGAGTGAGGCTCTTTTTGCCTTGGATGCCTACTGGGTCTAAAGGTCACTCCAGAACTCAAATGGAACTCCTATATTCATGTTATCACTAAAGTGGCTGGATGAATGGTTGGTTCCTTGTATCATTCCATAAAATACCTAATTCCAGCCACCATGCTCTGTTTACCAGAGTGCAATCAAATCAAGAATGAAGTATTGCTGCCATAAGTAGGATGGTGTTGCCCAGTACTCACTTTCCAGCCATGACAAAATCCAAATGCATTTACACACCCTTGTGAATGACGAATTATTTTCCACCCTGCAACCTTTATCCCACTAATGAAATATTGTTAGCATCTCACTACTCTATCATCATCATACTTATTATAAAACTCAGGTTGTGTGTGTGTGTGTGTGTCTGTACGTTTATATATTGGATGGGATTTCCTACATTTTTCAACCGATTTCAACAAAACTTCACAGGACTACATAAAATTACCTTGCAGTAGTTCTGACAGTGCCAAAAATTGGAAAAACACAATTGTTTTTGCACAAAATCAATTTGAAAACATGATTAAGAGGCATCGCTGTTGCGAGAATGAAAGGGGGACAACTCATATAGAGTTATACTTATTATAAAACCTAGGTTGTGTGTGTGTGTGTGTGTGTGTGTGTGTGTGTGTGTGTGTGTTCATTTATATATGGGATCGGATTTCCTACATTTTTCAACCGATTCCAACAAAACTTCACTTTTTTTTGGCAGATAGTGTTTCTTATTGTCTTGCACACTTTTTTCTTCATTTTTACATTCAGAATGCTTTAAAAATTCCATTTACAAAACAATTGTTTATAATAAAATTCTATTCAATTGGTAAACTCATAACGATTGAAAATAATGTTTTTGTTTCAGTTTGGGTTTGACCAATTCGTAAAAAAAAAACTAATTAAGACATGCATGTCCGTCAACCTTAAACAATAATCTTTGTCAATTTTATTTTTCAGTCTTTATGATGGTCAATACTTGATCTATCTCTTACTGTTACATCCCCAGGCAATGCCGGGCTCTACTGTTAGTTATTACTATGGCAAATGTTTTAACAATTTACATTCCTTAGTTCTACCAGTTCAGACCTTGACAGCTAGAACACACCATGCCATGTTCACACTGGCAAATCATCCCCATTCCCTTTCTGTACCTTTGGTAAGGAGTAAGTTCAAATCAGACAGCTGCTTCCTCAGAAGTTATTTTGCGGAACAAACTCCCAAGAGAATGCTTCTCTGACTACTACAATCAATCTATTCAAGTCTCATGTCAGCTGACATATCCCTATAACATGTACTTCCTCCATCTTTTACAATAATTTCCTTTTACCTTTAGTGTCTCTTGGGCCTTGTATTGGATGAACTAAATTTTAAAAAAAATAGTAATATTGAAATACTAATCTGTATCTAGAATGAATGAAGAGTTCATTGATTCAGTATGCTGAAGTGGAACTATTCACAGATTTAATCACAAGTCTTAGTATTAAATAGCTAAAACAACCAAAAGTGCAAACATAATCTGATTAGAAGGAATTGACTTGTACCCTCCAATGATACATCAATGTTGAAAGCATAGTGAATCATGGCATGAATATCCCTATCTGGTCATTGATACAATAGTTTTGGCATATAACTGTTGTCAGCAATAGACAAGTAAGCTTACTGAACTATAGATGACTAGGATTTGCCAACATGACAACTGCAAAGAAAAGCTTTCTTATATAACAAAACAACTGAAAAGATTTACAATATAATAAAAACTGGTTTTATGAAAAGATTCTTGATAAAAGAAAAAAAAAGTTAAGTGACTTCTTACCTTTAACTTTTTCCTTGCACCAATTCAAGATCTTCTGACATGAAACTGACAGTAGAAGAATCAGGAAGAATCAAAGAAGACACTGATTATTTTGTGTTCCTGTAATAAAATTCATATAACTTATAGACCAACATTTTACCTTTGATTAAAACATAACAGCAAGAGAAATGAACAAAAATGATTTCTGAAAAACTGTCAATCATATATTACATGTTATTCACAAGCAAAATTCAGTTTAGTTTTGTGCAGGTTTTTTCTTTAGTAAAAGTGCATATATAAACCATATGCTATGCTATGCAATGGCAACAGCAGTCATGGCAAACTCAGTAGGTTGTTGATTTCTGAAAAAATATATTCATATAGTTTTCCAACATATCCTTTACTAAAATAAATTCATTAACTAGTAAATGCTGAAAATTTACTGAAATGCAATAATGATCTGATTTTTGGTGACAATCAGTATGAAAGCATACATTCATTGCCACAGGCTTTGCTGGGTGGGCCATGTCATTTGCCTTGATGACAACATAATGCACAAAAAATGCTCTATGGCGAGTTGAAACTGTTGCATGTGATTGGAGGTGTACAATTCATGAAGTCACTAAGATCTTCCAAGAACATGCAATGAGTTGGGCAAATATCAAGCATACAGCTAGGAAAAGGGAAATTATTGGTCCAGCAATCCATCAATTTACATGTGATGAATGTGACACAGTATATCACTCCAATACAGGCCTTGTTAACCATAAGAGGAGTCATATTGATAGACCTTTTACAAATTATGATCAGAACAACACTGGAATAAATTTAACATGTAAGATGTGTCAGAAAACATGTAGAAATTGCTCCAGTCTCATCTATCACATGCACACCTATAAGGAAGCTGGACAAGTTTTACAAAACAGGCTAAGCCTGTACAAAACAGTTTGCCACACTGCAAGTCACTTGCAGGCTTCAAGAGCCACTGAGGAAACTTGTCAGTGATGATCATGCTCATTTAATGGGTTGATAGCTGTCATCAGTGGCTATTCTGGTAGATTGCAACTGACCCATCACTAAAAAAAAAGAAAATGAGTTTTTTTTCTGAATAGATAATCATTATTCCCTGTAGTAATATATATCAAAATTATTACATACATTATTGAAAGATTTTTCACACACCGTGATTTTATGTATGATAGATTCTCTTGTCTTGTAAAAATTATACTTAGACAGGAGAGGCCATCATACATAAAATAGGGAGTTACTTTTCAATCACCCTGTATATAAAGGGATCTATAGCTTATAGGAATATTTTA